TTACAGCAGCACATGGTAGAAATAATAATAATTTCAGTGCAAACCATTCCAACCTTAACACATACTATAACAAGATTTTTTATGATGATTTAATTCAAACCAATTCAACCATGTACTGTGGTCACCGGATGGTGAGTAATTTCTGTGACAGAATTTTTTTTACCGTACCTTAATAAAAAATACATAATTCCAATACAAACTTACTCAACACATACTATATTCACTGAAAACAGCAAGTTCTCTAAACCTAAAGTTGTGAGATAATCAAAAATGGGATTGCAGAAGACCGTATAATAATATGAATGACCAAAATAGTAAAATACTACTTATTTTAAAAATTATCCAATATTAATATACTATAATTACTATAATTATAATTTTAAACCTAATACAGTAACATATTCTATCCTATTTAATATAACGATAGTTTCTAAACAAATACAGTAATATATGACACCAGATCAGTATGCCACAAATTTAGAATAAGGTACATAATGATCTGTGTAAATTACAATGTTATAATTCGCAGGCCGTTCTTTTTAGGTGTTTAAAATGTGGACTTAAAAAAAGATCAACAAATAAATACGCAGATTATTGAACCGTTAAAAGTGACAGAACGTTAAAACCCTTATTAATAAAGAATCATTTAGGTTAACATTGTTGTATGTCTTGACGTTTTGAAAAATAATGAAAATGAAAGCAATAATTTTCATTGCTACTCATTTCAGCATTTGTAATTTGTAAGAAAAAATTAAAATTATACTGATTTTATCCGTTAAGACCGTAATTTAACAAGAGCTATTATAATTTTAAACCCGAAAATAAAGACCCGTTTATCATTATAAATTATTCATGATTAATTTTCACATGTTTAATTCTATTTATTGACTGTATAATAAAGAAAAAGAATTAGAAATTGTATACAATTTTAAGAAATTGGCTGATTTTATATATATATAAAAAGTACCTCAGGTTAACAATAATCGCATTCAAAATTTTGCAAACAATAAATTAAATAACATAATTGAAAAAAAAAACTCCAGACTGAATTATGAAAGGAAAACTCATTCTTGTATTAATATTTCTATTTTTCACCATGTTAATCATGGCAGATGCGAAATATAACCCTAAACATCATGGACATGGATCTCTACCTAAACCTAAACATCATGGTCATGGATCTCAACCTAAACCAAAACATCATGGACATCATCCTAAACCGCTTCGGAATCCTGGGGCGATTAATTGTTCAGTTTATAATTTGAATGTACACGATATGTACACAACTTTTCAGCCTGATCCCATTGGCCCTCCCGGGTCCGTTATACAATTTTTCGTTTCTCAGACACTAGATCAACTGAGTACAGTAACCACAAAGTTATTGTTTGGAGTTACTGATTCATTGGGTAACTTGATAGGTTATACCGTGCATCCAGTTGAAGCAAATATACCCGTTATTCAAGGTAATTACAATGCTATAGTGCCTGATTTTATTCCTGATAATTATACAGTTACAATTGTAATAAGTGACATTGATGGAGCTAGTTTCTGTGTGTCATTTCCCCGCGGTCAATAATATGTTGTCTTTTTAAGAAATCTAAAATTTTTTATTTTAAATGTATTCAATTAATCTTCATTTTTTATTGAATTGTTATTTCTCTCTATTTATATGATTCTTGTTTGCTGTATTAATTGCAATATACAATTTCTATAGTAAAAATTAGTTTCTAACTGTAATGTTAATTAATACTACTTATAATCTTTTTGTCGGCATGCCGCAAAGCGTTTCCAATAAAGTTTATGATTAGACATTAAACATTTTATTTATTGGTTGCGATCTTAATCGTGATCCGCCTCATTTTCTTTTCGGCTAAGACAGAAAAGATTTTTTTAGTCAAAAATATTATATTACCGAGTCAGAATAATTTTTTTTACTGTAGCTGTTCTGAGACAGCATAAAAATGACTGATTAGTCGCGAAATTGAAGTTATTAATTTGTCATTATCGAAATTCATATTATATTACTACTTTTAATAGTCAATATCATTTATATTCCACAGCTTATTAATTAATATTCGCAAAAAGAAATAAAGTCATTTTAAAAATCGAAAAATTTTTTTTTGTCAAAAAAAAAATGGTATAATAAAAAACGGCAGAGTTTCGTATGGCTGGAACCTTACATACCATATTCTGAATAAAAAAAAAGATCATTAAAGTTTCTACTTTACAGAAACTACTAACTTTTTTTTTATTAGTTTATTATAATCTTTAAGATAATAATAAAATTATTAAAATTATATCTTATAATAGACTTATAACACTTAAAATTATCAAAAAGTAACTCTTCCCGTAGATCACTACCAAATTAGAAACAAGAAGAAAAAACTTTCCCGCGACATTTCCTCCAATATTTATTAAGTAACTTGACGTTCGAC